GCCAGTGGTGTGAGTTCCATCTCTGCCACTTACCCTGTGTGCCCTCTGATCCAGTTTCTTAACCTGTCTGAGCCTCAGTGTCCCTCGTCCCACACATTCTTTGTCAGCCTTGATCTCTCCCTTTTTACTGCCTCCCTACCCATGCCCCATCCCTGCCTCAAAAACTCCACTCCCAGCCCCCAGCCCCAGCCCCTCAGTGGAAGGGAACAAGAGCTCCAAAGCCAGCTGTTTCCCTTCAGAGGGATTCCATCCTGGCCTGGATGCTCTTTGGAATCACCAGGGAGCTTAACTGGGTACTGATGCCCAGCCCCACCCAGAGACGCTATGTAATTGGTCTGGGTGGCCTGTGTGGTGTGGATTTTTCAAAGTTCCACAGGTGATGTTAATGTGAAGCCAGGGTTGAGAATCACTAGTTATGGAGAAAGCTGGGATTGCCAAAACTGGCAAAATCATTCCCTGGCTTGTAAACAACACCACGACAGGAAGGGTTTCTCAAGCATCACGATAGGCAGCTCCAGTTGGGCTCCTGTGTCTCAAGACCACGACCATCTTTGACTGAGGAGGAGGGCACTCCCTGCCTCAGAATTGGGGATTGTGACCCTTAGGGACCGAGAGCTCAGACTTTGGTACCAGACAGCATGAGTCCCAGCGTCTTCTCTTACCAGCTGTCTTAGTCCGTTAGAGCTGCTATAACAAAAGACCATGAACTAGGTGACTTATAAACAGCAAACATTTATTTCTCACAGTTCTGGAGGCTGGAAAGTCCAAGATCAAGGCACTGGCAGGTTTGGCGTCTGGTGGGGGCCCACTTCCTGGTCCATAGCCTGTGCTTTCTCGCTGTGTCCTCACATGGTGGAAAGGGCATGGGAGCTTTCTCCTGCCTCTTTTATAAGGGCACTAATCCCATTCATGAAGGCTCTGCCCTCATGACCTAATCACCTCCCAAAGGCCCCACCTCCTAATACCATCACATGGGGCATTACGTTTTCCACATATGAATTTTGAAGGGACACAAAGCGCAATTGATAGCACCGGCCTTGGATTTGGGCAATCGCTGAAGCTGTCTGAGCTGCAGTTTCCTCCCCTGTAAGGAAAGCAACATAGTAACCTGCCGTGTGGTATTGTCACGGGACGGACTGACTCGAGTCTCCATACACAGTACCCACTCACAGAAAGCTCTCAACAAATCATTACAGGTGTAATTTTTATCAGCAGCAAAATTCCTCCTACCTTCCATGGGCTCTCTCTCTTCCTCCTCCCCTCCTTTATTCTCCGGATAACCCCTTGTCTCCCCAAAGTGTTGAACAGTGCTAGGGCCATAGGCCATGCCTACCAAATAAAAATAATAATAGCTACCACTTATTAAGTGCCAACTGTATGTCAGACTCTTTGCTAATGGTTTAGGCTTTAGGACAGATGCTCACATCAATGGCATGATTGGCATGATCTACTATGATCCTCTCTTCATGAGGTTCTGGGAGTTCAGGCCCTGAAGTTGCCATAGTGACACAGGTGGGGGTGGCGACGCAGGCCCATCTGACTTGAGAGATGGAGCGCTCTCCTTCCTTGCACCAGCATCGCAACACGCTGTGGTTCACAACCTGCTTATTGGTCCACTTGTATATTCCGACTATTTTAAAATCACAGAATCTTAGTTTGAATACCAGCAGGGGTGTTAAACTGTGCTCCACAGGGTACTGGGGTTCCACTGGGCACCCTGATGTGCTTTGGGAAACATGTAGACAGGCTCTGAGACGTCCAGCCCCTACTTTAAGGAGAGAACCCTACTCCCATCTATCGGGAAAATCACCAGTTTTACAGAGGAGGACACTTCCAGTTACTTGGAGGCAGAGTCCTCCTCTCCTTCCAGAATGCAAAAAGCACATGACTTTCCTAGTCTGGGCCCACTCCACTGTACCGAGCTGCCATTTCTGCAACCACAGGGGCCCTTCCTCTGCCTGGTGGGCTGCCATTAGGACATGGTGGGGCAGGGGCGCCCACCCCACGGGCCAAGAGGCCTCACTGCCCTGTTTGTACTCGATTCCCGGGTCATTCCTATCAACCCCACCGGCTGTGGTGTCAGAAAGTGCAGGCCTGCACTGAGAGCCGGGTCACTCCGAGCTGCAGGGCCGCCCACTGGAGCTCCCTGTTTATTTTCCTTCCTGGACGCTTTGGTGATTCGGTGTTTGAAAACCTCCAATGCGGCTGGAATGAGAGTCTGCAGGAGAATGGTCGGTCACCTCACAGAGGCCTGCTGGTGATTTGGAATGTCCTTTAGGAGGCTTTTTAATAAACTTTGTTTGTATCTGCCTTGATGAGGAACACATTTGCCCGGGACCGTGCAGGGATGTTTGGTTTCGAGGCTTCCCTTTCTTGGTCTTAGAAGTTCTTGGTGGCAGTGGCTGCCTGCAGGCCCCTGGGACTCCCCTGTGGAGGGCTGACCCGCCTCCAGCTTTGTCCCCGTAACTTTAGTCGTGCTACACTCCTGGCCCCCGGTGTCCCTGATAAACTCCAGAGCACAAAGTGCAGGGTCAGAAAGGTTTGAAAGTTCAACAGGAAAAAAGGTCCCGTTACCTTTTTTAAGAAGCTTCCAGGCCCAGCACTGGAATTTGTTTTTTTAATCCATCAAGTAATGTCCCTTTGACTCCTGCCTCTCCCAGTCCTCTGCTTTTCCAGCCCACGTCAATTGTGAGAATTAGTTTCAGTATCTTACACGCACAGCAATTCCTGGCCAAGAACCCCCATTATAAAGAGGAAAACTTTTAGGAGCCTGTTCCCCTCGCCGGGTTTATTTCCGAGGTAGGAGTAGGCGACGACCTACGGCTTTCCCAACTCCCCGCCTGTAGAAGTGCCCTGAAACTCTGTGCTGAGCTGCTGCTGTTCACAACATGTTCTATTTGGCCAAAAAGGGATGAACACTCAGCCCCAAGTGCTCTGTGCTCTGGGGAACATGCTCGTTGATCAACCGTGCTCTGGAGAAGGGCTGATGAAGCCACCCTCGCTGGGCCTCCTTATTTCCATTCGGCTCTGGTATGCATACGCAGACAGGGTCCAGGCAAAACAGGTTGGCAGGAATTCCAGGTCAGGGGACAGGAAGGAGGCAGCAGGGCAGAGCTCATGGCCCCTTTCTTCAAGGTGACTTCCATGTGGCCCAGTGTGTCAAATGCCCACCTTGACTGACCCATCTAGCAAAAATAATAACAGCACGGAGAAGGGGCGGCAAGAAGCCCACTAAAATTCACTAAGACCAAAGCCTGTGACGTGCTAGGGGTCAGGGCGGTGCCAGAGGACAAGGGTCTTCCTGTCAGTCTCTGGACTCACACAGGCCTGGACTGAATACCCAGCTCTGCTCCTTCCTGGCTGTGTGACCTGGAGCAAGTCGCTCAGCCTCTTTCCACTTCATTTTTCTCATCTGTGAAATGGGGGCAGCAGTACTTTCCTTGACAGGTTATTTTTACAGTTAGAAGTAATATATAAGGGGCCGGCCCGGTGGTGTAAGGGTTAAGCACACACTCCACTGCGGCGGCCCGGGGTTCGGATCCCGGGCGCACACCGACACACCGCTTGTCAAGCCATGCTGTAGCAGCGTCCCATATAAAGCAGAGGAAGATGGGAACGGATGTTAGCCCAGGGCCAATCTTCCTCAGCAAAAAGAGGAGGATTGGCAGATGTTAGCTCAGGGCTGATCTTCCTCACAAAAAAAAAAAAAAAAACTATCACCAACACACACACCCCCTGTAGCAAAATGGAGCCTTGGAAATTATGTGGTAACTGTAATCAAAATAGAAAGCAATCAATAAAATAAAATTTATTTAAAAAAAGAAGCAATATATAATGTATATGTATATAAATGCATACAAAAGACTCGAGAAGGTTAAACACCAAAGTTGGGGGAGGGGGAAGAGAGAAGGGAGGGGACTGATTGACAGTGGGAGAGAGGGAGGGGGGCTTCCACTTTCACCAGGCAGATAAGGATAACAGTGTGAAGGAAGAGAGACAGAGAGAAGAAAAGATGGTTCTGTGTGTGCGTGCGTGTGTGTGATTTATTTTATAATGTGCTTAGCACATTGCACATAGTAAATGCTTAGTAAATAGTAACTATTTTTACTCTTTTTTTTTTCTCAAAAAGTCCTGGGTACTTAAGGATGTGGTAAAGGCCCTGTCACCACCAAAAGCCCCGTGTAGAAGGCCCTTTTGATTCTGACCGGGGACAGAGGAAGGAGTTTCGGTCAAAGGGCCCCTAATCCCGTCTTTATTTTGGTTCAAAAACACCAACGGGAGAGGAAGCTGGATATGTGGACACTCTGTGGGTCGCTTTCTTGTTATGAAATCTGAGAGTGAGCAGTTCCCGCCTGGCTAGCAAACCTGCAGCCTCCCTTCCGGCCTCGGCTGGAGGCACCCTCAGGCTGGGCTCTCCCCCGATGCCATCCTGGAGGGGCAGGCCAGATATGCAGTAGGAAAACACACCAGCAGCAGCCCGTTCCATAACATCACGTGTCCAAGTAAATGGAGCTGTTGACTCAAGCTAATTAGATGAGGGGCCTTTCCTAAAGAGCAATCTGTGTGAGGCTAAGAAAAACAGGATTCTCGGTGGAATCAGGCTTCTAATCCCCAGCTTCCCCGGCAGAGCCGCGGCTTGGAGGAGCTGGGGGGCCTCCCAGAGATGCCCGGTCAGGAGCCAGCAGAAGGTTGCATTCCTGCTCTGCTGCCTGCCTCCAGGCTGGTTCATCCCACCTGGGCAGGAGGACGGGGACCTCGGGGCCTCAGGAGGCCAGGGCCCAGGCCGAGGGCTTCCCCAGGGCTGCACACCTGAGCTAGGGTTGATGCAGGAGCCCCACAATCCCCTCATCATCACCCCAGATGAGCTTGTTTTGACCCCAAAAGTTGAGTACCATCTCAAACCACGGCCATCCAGGCTCAGTTTCCAAGTAGAAATTGATTAAAGGCAGAGATGAGTTTATGGGGAGCCACCCCCAAACACATGCACACACACCACACACACAAACACACACACACACACGCCACCAACATGCAGAAAAACAAGAGGGGGTGTGCTATGAGGCACCTGCAAAGGGGCCAGCCACCTGGCCGGGCCCACAGTATCTCGCATTCACATCTCATACTGTGGGTGCCTGTGAGCAGGGACCTTGTTCAAGTCACCTCTACGCTCGGGGCTGGTCAGGATCCAGGGCTTGCTGTGAGGACTAAGCCAGGACAATTGTCTGAAGGGCTGGCCTTGTGCCCAGCCTGCAGCAAATGCTCTATCAGTGGTCCACCACCACCCAGGAGGCTCATGGGACATGCAGGGAGTGGGATGGAGTGGTGGCCCCGCCAGCACAAGGGGACCTTATAAACTGGGGGGATGAGACAGACCTTAGAAAGGGGCCCAGGCACCCTCAGCTAGGAATCAGGACAACTGGAGATGAGAGGAGAGAAAGAGATCACAGTGAAAGTCAGAGAGGCCTTCCTGGAGGAGCTGAAACCTCCAGTGGACCATGAAAGGATAGGTGGGATTTGAAAAGGTGGGAGCTGGGGCCAGCCCCGTGGCGTAGCAGTTAAGTGCATGCTGCTGGCGGCCTGGGTTTGGATCCCGGGCACGCACCGATGCACTGCTTGTCAGGCCATGCTGTGGTGACATCCCATATAAAGTGGAGGAAGATGGGCACAGATGTTAGCCCAGGGCCAGTCTTCCTCAGAAAAAAAAAAAAAGAGGAGGATTGGCATGGATGTTAGCTCAGGGCTGATCTCCTTCACACACATACACACAAAAAAAGGTGGGGGAACATTGGGGTCGACATTCAGGTGGGGGAATGGCAAATGCAGAGGTGGGAAACCAGAAAAGAGCCCAGCAGTAGCAGAAAGTCTGCAGAGGGGGCCAGAGGGAGAGGCGGTTAGCTTGTCGGAGGAGACAGGCAGATCAGGCAGCCAGGTCCCTGCTGGAGGTACTGGGGCCCGAACAGGAAGTTCTGCATCAATCAGACCTTCTACCTCACTGACTGCCATGCACAGCCAACTCGGTCCTGCCTCCTTGCCTTCACTCCTGCAGTTCCTACAACTTCTAATGCCTCCTAAGGCTTATCTTCTCATCTGCCCCCATACGTACCCAAATCTCACCTTCCCCCAGAAGCCTTCTGCATGGGAAAAGCATGGGTTTGGGACTCAGAATGAGCTTGAACAAGTCATTCAAATTCAATAGACCTCATCTGTATACTCACACTTGCTTCTCTTTAAATGGGGAAAATGTCTACCTCCATGGCTGTCCTGGGGATGAAATCAGATAAGGTATGTAGAGTGCCTAGTGGGTGCCTGACACACAGCAGGTTCTTGAAAACGTTTGTGGTACGAATGGATTCAAAGCCAGGTAACCTCCAAACTTCCCTCCACTCTACACAGAAAGTCCCTCTCTCCATCCTGTGAAACCCTAATCGCCTTCCTTCCTCCTCAGCCTTGCTGGTGTAGGCTCCCCACTGCAATGCCTTCCCTTCTCTGAGCCTAACTAATGCCCCAGGAGACCCAGCTCAAGGCCCAGGCCTGGCATCACACAGCCTCCTGATAGCACACACAACATTGTAAGTGCTCTCTCAGAGGACATGTCTGGCCATCCATTCCTTGGGGGCGGAGAACACTCTACCTTCCCTTGTATCCCTCACAGCACCCAGGACAAAGCTGGGCACACGCTGCATGCTGGGTACAGGCTGCTGCTCAAATACCTTCAAGGGCCAGGCAGATAACATAAACGAGGGATGCAAGCCTGATGGCACACAATAGGGCATGGTGGGGCCTGTGACATGCTGGAAAGCCTTGCTGTATGTTGATTGGTTGATCAAGTGGCACAGGGAAGAGGCTCTACAGAGACAGAAGTCCTGGATCACTTGTTCGCCCGGTGACTATAGTCAACTGGCTTCCCCTCTCTCTGGACCACAGGGACACTGTCCATCCAAAGAGGCCGACAAACCCTGCCCAGGCAGCTCTCAGGCTGTGAAGAAGATCAAATGAGCTGGCACTTACGAGAACACTTTGAAATCCTGAGGCTCTGTGGAGACCTGAGGGCCCACGTTCATAAGCCCTAACATTTTCCCCAAACCAGGCCCCCAATCTCAGATGATCAGGAACAGGTGTATGGTTAGGGGAACTTAGAAGGCCCCTACTGCTTTGCTGGGAGCCACCTCCTATCTCCCCAGGATCTCTGGCAGCCCTGGCTCCACAAGGGGGTGGTAATTGGGTCCCTTTGGAAAACAGCAGAGGCGGCTTAGGGCAGCTGGAGGCAGCAGAAACCCTATCCCCTCCAGAGCCCCGACATTCTCATCAGCGTCTTTCCCGCCTGCCAGCCAGGCCTGCAGCTTCCTGGGACCACCTGGCTTCCCTGGCCTCCCCTGTTCCCGTGGCCCCCTGCTGCTCCCCTCCACTGCCCTGGCAGAGGCCAGTGACTGGAGGTGCCCCAGGGCTGTCTTCCCTCCAAGGTCTTGGTGGCAGCTGCCAAATGGCACAGTGACCTCCTCAACCCTGCAGCTCCAGCATCACTCTCGCCTCCTGGGGCAGGGGGGCACTGAGCCCCCACCTGTGGCCCAGCCTGACCCCAGATATTGAGGCCAGCTGTCGCCGGTCACCAGGAGCGCAGGCTGCCCATGAACAAGTGCGCTCACAGGCCTCACATCAACGATGATGCTCTGAGAGTACCAGGGCTCAAGCACCTGCTGCTCGCCCAGCACTTTCCGAGTCCTCCCAACAGCTCCGAGGGGCAGTGGCATGGTACCCACCTCTCAGGCGGGGAAACTGCAGCTCCAGGAGGTTAGGTAATGTGCCAAGATGCAGGAAAAGAGTTCGCCCCCAGATCTGACTAAACACCACCTGCCTGTGCTGTCAGAATGCCCCACGTGTTCACTTCACAACATCTCCTGAGCACTATGTGTATTTCTGTTAGAGCGCAGAGGATAGAACAGTGCACAAGACAGACATGATCCCTGCCTGCATGACACTTAACAGAATAAGAGGAGAAATAGACACCACGGATCACATTGGAGAAATATAACAGCCCAAATAGCGATAAATGCCGTGGAGAACTGAACCAGGAGGCTCCGCCCTGTGTGGCAGTCAAGGAAGGCTTCCTGGGGCAGGTCCTAAAGGATGAATCAGTGTTAACTAGGAGAAGCCAGGGTGCCAAGGGGCAGGTGGGCATAAAGGAGTGCTTCCAGACGCAGAGAACGGTGAGAGTTAGGAAGGAGAATGACAGGAACTGAAGTGCCACCAGGGGGGCTGGAGTGCAGGTAGCCCGGGGAGAGCTCCTCAGAGGAGGCTGGGGGGCTGCAGGGCCAGACCACTCCGGGCTTTATAGGCCAAGGTCAGGATTTGCTGTTGCCCCTGGGAAGCCTGAAGAAGCCACTGGAGGAGGAAGAGCACCAGGTTGGTATATTTCAAGACCCACCCTGGCTGCAGCGTGGAGGTGGATTGTTTATACACACACACACACACACAAACACACACACACACAGGCCTCCTGCCCATGCCAGTCCAATCACTCTCTTTCTAGAGTCAGGGCTCCTGTGAGCCGCGCTCCCCCTCAGACCCATTCCAGGCCAGGGTCCTTGTTGCGTCCATCACAGGTCAGGCATCCAGCGAGCTACTCTGAACAGAAACATCCTGACCCCAACCCCTCCTGGGCAGTGAGAGGCCTGTCACCTCGCGGCGAGCAACAGCAGGTCCCAAAGACCGTGTGCCTGAAAGCTGGTTGCCTGGAGGTTCACAAAGTGTGAAGCTGAAAACCCACCGCGTGGGCAAAACAATCTTGCTGGTTCACTTTTTTCTGTAGACTTCAACGTCTCTGTCTTCTTCAGACCAACTGACTTTCATCACCATCAAAAGTCTGTGCTACCCGAGTGTTCATTATCCTATTTTTTTCATTTTTCTCTATGTATAAATTTTTTTTAAAAAGAAGGTGAGAGGGACCTGTATTACCTCAATGGAGGGCAATTTGGCAATATCTGTCAAAATTACATGTGCATGAACCTCTTAATTCAGCAATTCCGCCTCTAGGACTATACTCACACATGCAAAATTAGACATAATTTTTGAAGGTCTGCAGGAAGATCCCTCATTCATATCTGTTTCTAAAGCCATAAAGTTGCTCAAAAGGATACACAAGAAGCTGGTAATATTGGATGCTTGTGAAGAGGAACCAACTGGTTAGGCAACGGGGTGAGAAAGACTTTTTAAATTAGAACTACACGTCTGTATTACCTATTCAGTAAACTGGGATACCCATGCACAATGGAATACTACTCAGAAAAAAACAGGAATGGGGCCGGCCCGGTGGCGCAAACAGTTAAGTGTGCACGCTCCGCTGCGGCGGCCTGGGGTTCGCCGGTTCAGATCCCGGGCACGCACCGAGGCATCGCTTGTCAAGCCAGGCTGTGGCAGTGTCCCATATAAAGTGGAGGAAGATGGGCACGGATGTTAGCCTAAGGCCAGTCTTCCTCAGCAAAAAGAGGAGGATTGGCAGATGTTAGCTCAGGGCCGATCTTCCTCACAAAAAAAGAAAAGAAATAAACAGGAATGAATGGATGCACTCAACAACACAGATGAATCTATAAAATATTACGCTGTGCAACAGAAGCCAGATACAAAAGACAACATACTGTATAATTCCACTTATATGAATCTCCAGAAAGACCAATCTAATCTATGGTGATAGAAAGCAAATCAGTGGTTTCCGGGCTGGAGGGCGGGGATTGACTAAGAAGGGGCACAAAGGAAGTTTTTGGGGTGATAGAAATGTTCTATATCTTGATTGAGGTGTTCATTACATGGGTGTTTAAATGTGTCAAAACTCGTCAAAATATACACTTAAGGGCCAGCCTGGTGGCATAGTGGTTAAGTTCGTGTGCTCTGCTTCAGTGGCCTGGGGTTCACGGGTTTGGATCCCAGGCACGGACCTATGCACAGCTTATCAAGCCATGCTGTGGTGGCATCCCATATACAAAGTAGAGGAAGACTGGCACAGACGTTAGCTCAGGGCTAATCTTACTCAAGCAAAAAGAGGAAGATTGGCAACAGATGTTAGCTCAGGGCCAATCTTCCTCACCAAAAAAAAATATGTATATGTATATATATACACACACTTAAAATGGGTGCATTTTATTGTATGAAAATTATATCTCAGTAGAGTTTATTTTTTTAAAGAGGAAAATATATATGTGTGATACAAATCAATAAACAGAAAATTTTTAAAGCAACAAAAACCCAGTATTGGGGCCCAGTGGGAAAGGCTCATCCCCAACAAGCCTGACCTCCCCCAGAAAGGGGTGGTTAGAAGAACCCCCTGGGAAGATCTGCCAATAAAGCCCCAGTTATTTTAGGGGGCCAGCCCCATGGCGTAGTGGTTAAGTGTGCGCGCACCGATTCTGGCGGCCCAGGTTCGGATCCGGGGCGCGCACCAAGGCACCGTTTGTCAGGCCATGCTGTGGCGGCGCCCCATATAAAGTGGAGGACGATAGGTACAGATGTTAGCCCAGGGCCAGTCTTCCTCAGCAAAAAGAGGAGGATTGGCATGGATGTTAGCTCAGGGCT